CATTCCTGGAGATCAGTGTGGCTGCTGGCAGATGGCATAGGAGTGATGAAAAGCATCTGTTCATTTTTAAGTGTCTGTCTGTTGCCAGGTGTTGGTCTCTGTAGCCATGCACTGGAAGACAGGAGAGGAGCTTGGTTTTTCTGACTCGCAGCTACTTTTTGCTAAAACAACCTCCCATTTCATGACTCTTTTCCTGTCCTCGTGTGACCTGACACGATTTATGTGTCCTGCTGTCAGTGCAGCTTACTGCACTTGGACAAAGCTGAGTGCAACTGAGTTTTGGCCTGATTAAGGCCACTGCATTCAGCTGCTGCATACAAATTGAGGGTGATGGTAATTGCTAATAAAGATAATTAAATTTTCTCTGTAAACAGATGATCTCTCCTCCTGATGCTCTGATATTAGTCTTGTACTCCCTGCAGTTTATCAGAATAAGCATTACAGCACCTGGCCAACTAATCTTACAGTAAGCTACAGCAGACTTCAGCTTCACAAGAATGTCCCTAGTATTCTTGATTAATTGAAGGAGCTACCCTGGTGTTTAAAAGAGTCTTTGACTAAAATGTTGACCTCCCAAACTCACTGCTTGCACAGGCAAGACTACCTCCTCTTCACACAAGGGCTGATTCTGCAGGTGTTGAAGGGCAGAAGAGCATTGCCAACCCTGCTGCAGTTACGTGCAGTTTGGCAGGTACACACTTTGCCCTTCCTCTGGACATTGTGCAGGGCAGTGTTCCCCACAGCTTTTTGTGACCTTTCTGTTCTTTGGGCCCTGCCTTCAGGCTGCTTTGTCCAAACAAAACCAGCCTAAAGGCAGGTTGGAGTCAGTCTCCTCTACTGTTGTGTGTCAAGGTTGTGTACACAAAGTAAGTAGCTGTTTCCAAGAAGTAAGGCAGCATGGTCATTTGCCTTTCATTGGACTTGGAAGGAGGAGCAAAGGTTTGCTTGCTGCTTTGTTTGTCATGAGAATAAGGTGACATGGTAAAAGGGAAAAAGAACCAGAGAAAGGGATTTTTCCCTTTACTCTTTTACAGATGGGTGCTGATGTAGAGAACACACTTCGCTGGATGTTCAAATGTAATTTGTAGTGCAGTTATGAGTATTTTACTGCAAAGGAGTTAGTGCAGATCTGCTTTTTTTTCCCTAGGATTCCATAATGACTGTTTTTTGGGATTGCTAAGTCTCTTCTGCCAGAGGGTTTCTCTGAGTTCAGGTGCATAACTTGGATAAGTGTGACCCTGCACTGAACTGTGTACCACTCTATTTCTACAATTTACTCAAGCTTGTTCTTAAAGCCTGAGTCTTTGTTAATGAGAAATCATCAGGTCTCTTCTACTGAATTTTTCATTAGATTATTTTTGAAGATCTCTGCAGCTTAGGCCAATGTCTTAGGCTGTACCATAGGAGACTGGAGATAAATGTACTATTTGTAATGTGTGCCAGTCTCTGACCTTCAGAAAATGAAATGCCCATGTGGTGGTTGTAAGAAGGAATAATTTCCTGTAAGAAGGAATCTTTTGCTAATAAAGTTCCAAAGGGGCTTCATAATCTGAATCTTTTTGTGTTTTCCTTTTTATGTTGTGTTCTATACCTTGGAAGTCCCCCCTGCCTAACCTGATTCAAGGTTGGAGTGAACTAGAGAGAAGAGGGAAAATAAAGCATGGAGTTAGCAAGTAAATCTCTGATCCTCATTCTTGCCAGCTGTACAGTTAGTTCATTGATGCCCTGGCCAAGCTGGTTGCCCAGGATCTTCCTGAGGTTGTGGGCTGTCAGTCTGGCTGAGAGAACTTTTTTATTCTAAGTCCTGATTGAAGAGTCCACCTTAAGGAACAATCACCAAAGAGATTCTATAGGGTAAAGGAGAAAGAGAGAGCAGTGTGTCTGCATGGTTAAATTCCAGAAAGATTCAAGAAAGTATCCCAGTACAGCTGTTTGCCTGCTCACTGGAAGATGGTGCCTGCCAGAGGTGCCTGCTTAGGTGCAATTGGAGTAGAAATTATTAAAAAATGGGACTGGCCTGCTTTCTGTACACAGGATTTACCAAGTGACCATCAGGTTTTACTTACGGATTTCTTTGCTAGCTTGTCACATCACTACAGTCAGCTATAACAATATTGAAACTAATGAATCAAGGGCCCTAAACCTACCTACAGCACAGGAAGGAGACAGAGTTCCCTAGCTTGTGAAATGCACAGGGTAAAGCAAAACCTGTGCAGCAAGGCTGATGGTAGTGCTGAGACCCTTGGAATGTGTCACCTAAAAAGAAAATCAGAAACCTAATATAAGTCTCATAGGCTGAGTAAATGAGATTAATAGGAAGAAGGTGTTAGCAGCCAGGGACAGCAGTTGCAACATATTCCTGTGTCATATGTTTATTTTAGTTTGACAGTCATTTAGTTGTCATAATTAGAGCTTCAAGTTACTTGAAGTTGCCCCAGTGAAGCAAGGTGACTTCTGTCCAGGTGAAGTGTCTTGCCTCATGTTGCTTAGAAAGTTTCTATGGGAGTTGTGAAAACATACCCAGTAATCAATGCTCAAGTCAATAGGCCCTCTGTAAATTTCTGCCTTTGGAGCATCATGATCTGTTGTCACCTACAGCAACAGTAGAAGCTGAGAAATAATCCCAGTGTCCTTGTGGCTTTTGGCACATTGATCTTGTTTGCAGTTGCCTTCTCTTTGGAGTTTTTGTTCAGAATAGTTTACTCTGAAGGAAGCAGGGTAGGGAATAGTCATCTTGTCACCGCCACTGTTGTGTGGGAGCATGGGCCAGAGGAATGGTTGCAGGGAAGACCTGTGCAGTGCACAGTGTGATCTAACTTGTCTGTGAGTCACAGAACTTAGTTGACTCAAAGCATTGAACCTGTTGGTGCTTTTATAGGCATTTCGTGCAACAGTGGGGCCAGAAGCTTGTTTTCCAAAGTAATTGTTGCATCTCTGAAGGCTTGTGCTTGCACTCTGAATGGTGATCATAGATGGGTGGCACACCTGAGCCCAAGAGCAAAAACTGCTTTGTGGGTACCCCAACAGTACATTTGAATGAGAATAAATCAATAACAGTGTGAACTGGAAAGAATAAATATAAACATAGTTACAAATAACAACTGCAAACAATGCCCAATTCAATATCTAGATTGTCTTGTTTCATAATATATAGAAAAATAGCACTGGAGCTCTCAATGCAAGGCACAAAAATGACAGCAGAAGTCCACTGTGCTAAATATGCATGGAATGTGTTTACATTTTGCTGTGAAAACTCAGAATAACTAAAAGCACTTTATTTATTTGGGAAAACAACTTTAGGTACCTTCTGAGCTGCAAGAATCTGCTTTCTTTTTAAAAAGTCAGCACAAAATAAATGCTTTCCTGTTGGTTATGTCAGGCAAGAATCTGTATTAGAGCAGTATAATGGCTGGTTTGGAAAGAAAATACATTCTGTTGGCAGATCTTTGTGCCTCATACAGCAACCTTTAAGAAAAGTATTTCTTTACCAGTTATTGAGTATTACAACTTCTTGTATTTCATTTATCTCATCCAAAACAAAAATATTGAAGAGTAGTTGAAGTGGTTAACCTCAAAGTTGCCTGTTGAAATATGTGCCTGTCTCTGTAGATACATCAAACGGTGTATCTTTCTTTGGTGCTTGATAATCCTTGATGAATCAAACCTTGCAGTATCAATGAGTTAGGAAAACCTTGTCCTTAGTTTACAGGGAAGAGAGTTGAAGCCAAAAGGAACTGCTGGCACACCTGGGAACAGAACACAAAACTCCAGACTGTCTGAAATTGTGGCCTTTCTCTACCAGTATGGAGGACTTGCTACTTTACTTGTCTGTGCTTGTGTTTATTTTATGTCTTACAATGCAGTAGATAACAGGACACTTTCTGATGTGTTTTGCAGGGTTTCTGGAGGGGAACTTTTTGACTTCTTGGCACAGAAGGAGTCTTTGAGTGAAGAGGAAGCAACCAGATTCATCAAGCAGATTTTGGATGGTGTGAATTACCTTCACTCTAAGAAAATTGCTCACTTTGATTTAAAGGTAAAGAGGCTGATTTAAACTTGTTTTTTTAATGGCAGATTGTATCTTCTACAAATTACTTGATAACATGCCTAAAATAATAGGTAAGGCCATTCTAAATGCACTTCACAGCTGAATGCTCCACCAAAAAGCCTGGTAGCTTTTAGATGGGCTTATATATTTACTGACTGAGAAAAAGAAATTGTAAGTCTTCATCTTTCAACTATTTGCATTTGTGGTATCATCCAAAGCATTTTGTTTTTTAAAAAGTAATAAAAACATTAGAATGATGTGCATAAGAAATGCATTTTTGGGAAGAGGAAAGCCAGGCGCAGCTACAAACAACTGCTGCTGCTTCCAGCCCCCACTGTGTTTAGAAGTACCTGAGAAGTGTGTGTCATCCAGTGCAGAATTGTTAACAGAAAGACTCCCTGCTTTCTTAGCTGCTAGAGACCCTGAAAGCACATCACACAGAGCTCTCTTCCTGCCCTGTCAGGTGACATCTTTCTATCAGTACAACTGGCTTAGTCAATATAGAAGAGATTTTCTCTTCTTTTGATTGTGGCCTGCCTAGGAGAACATGCTTCTGTGAAGGTAGGAGTCCTAGGAAGTGAAACTCTTGGGGCTAGAAGAAATGCAGGAGCAGGCTGAGAGCTACAGAACTGGCTACCTCAAATATTGCTGCTTCCAGAAATACATTCAAAATGCACTTATCCCCTAGGAGAAAGTAGAATAAAACAAAGGAGGGAACTGTTTTAAGATTAAGGAAAAAAGAAGAAACTCTAGTGCTAGATTACATTTTTCTTGTCCTAATTTTAAATCCAGGATATTGTATGCTATAGCTAGACCCAGATTCTCAGCACACATATATAGTGATTCTTTGTGCTGAGCGTGTGTCTAATGCTGTCTATGTCTTAAATTGCTTGGTCTTGGGTCAGTGTTAATGGCATATATGTAGTAATTACAAATCACATCTAGCCTAAGAGCAAACTACCATCTGAATCTTCACTGGGTGCATGTGGAAAGGTGTAGCAGATGTGTGAACATTTTAAGGATGTGCACTTAATTTTGAAATTACTATGTGAATCCAGAAGCCAAAGACAGAAAATTTTCACTGTGTGTTAGAAAATAGTGTCATATCCAGTGGCACAAAATCATTGTTAGAATATAGGTGCAACTGATTCCTACCTACTAATTTTGATATTTAATACCAGTAATGTTAGGTGGCCAATGAGGATGTTACAAGAAATGCAAGACTGAAATTGAGAGAGGATAAGTTAAGAATCATTTAACTGGTAGTGATTATGAAATGACCTAAAACATTCACAAAATAACTCCCCTGGGTTTTATAGGACTAGGTTTGGAGTCTTGGTAGAGTTAAATTAGACATGTATTTTTAAGCAGTGATAATGATCTCATCACTTGACAAGGCTCAGTCGACTGCAGTGGAGCTACAGTGACTTAGACCACCTCAGGAATAAAACGTCCAAGAGGCAGTGACTGTGACTTGTTGCCATTTCAGTCTGTTGTAATCAAGCTTACATCAGGTATCTGGGATGAACACGTATGCCCTAGATCCATGGAAGAAAACCAGACTTGTTAGCTTGAGGCTAAAATGTTCTTGGTCCAATGACTATGGCAATAAATTATTCATATGCTCTCCTTCCCAGTGCAGTTCTGAGTGTGTCTGTGTTAGCAAGAGTTGCTTCCTCAGTAGAATCTGCTGTGAAAAGACCTGGCAGCTGCCAGCAGATAATCAAACTGTCTCACTGTTGTTCTTGGGCTTATGAGTAAGTTTGACAAATCAATGCATTAAAGCTCTTCATACACTGAACACAGAGTTTACTCTGAAACCTGTGAAATAGAGCCATGGTAGGGAGTAACTAAGGCTGAGGAATTCAGTTGAAGAAGTAAGTTGATGAAGTATCCATTATATTTGGTAAAGTCCACGTCTAGTTAAAAAAGTTAACTTTAATTTCACAGTTGCTGCTTCAGCAACTACATGTTCTTTAAGTAGCTTGCTGTCATAGGAGCTACAGTTGTCCCAAATCTGTGTTCTTCCCTCAGTGAAAGTCTTTGTTCCAGACTAGATACTTTCCAAGGAGTCAGCAAGACCAAAGCTGGATAGTCCTCAGTCAAGTTGTAATCTTGTAACTTAAACCTTTTCTTTTAACATCACTCTGACCTCTGATTCCTGCTCTTTCCATTTTCTGGACTGTTCAGATAATTAAGTTCTACATCTTTCCTGGCCTTGTTGCAGCTGTGAATTTAGTCACATAGAAAAGAACATTTTCCTTTCCTAAGGAGGTTCAGATGTTAATAGAATCCCTCAAGAAGCATTTAATAAGGCATCTTTCAGTGGGCTACCATACAGTAAAGGGACAGCAGGACAGAAGTGGTGAGATCTCCTGGTGTAAATCCCAAGAACAGAACAGATTAGCATTGCTGTCAGGTCAGTAAGCGGTGGTGCAGCTTTTCTCCAGGATCAAGCAGCATCTAGGAGATGTGTTTTCAATTTGAAGGAGGGACAAGATAAACTGAGCTTCTGCTTTGTGTTCTGTCACATGCTACTGGGCTGAGAATCTAGTGGCACATGTGGTCAGGTCAGGGAACGACAGACAAAGAGATGTGTGAAGAACTTGTGTCTCACTGGGAAAGCAAGGGTAGCTTGCTTCCATTCTGGCAACAGCCAGCCTTAAGAAAATAAGCTTAGGACTGCTAACAGGAAGATAGAGGCAGATTTTGCATGAGATAAAACTAAAGGAATGAAAGTATTGCTTTGTTTACATTTGCTTGGTTTGTATGAAGTTCTGGTCCATTCAGTGGTGTCAAATTTCACAGCTGCCATCCCTTCCCTAAAAGAATGAATTGTAAATAGTTAAACACAGGTTTTGTTCTTTGTTATGACATGTTGTATATGTGAAGAAAAAAAGCACTTGAGAACTCCATTGTTTCCCAAGATATTAATGTTACAATTTAAAAAGATGGATTTTTTTTGTTGTTATTTTTAGCCTGAAAATATTATGCTTCTAGACAAGAATATTCCTATTCCACACATCAAACTCATTGACTTTGGCCTGGCTCACAAAATAGAAGATGGAGTTGAATTTAAAAACATTTTTGGAACTCCAGAATTTGTAGGTGAGTGAGTGACCTGTTCCTTTGTCTCATTTTGCAAGTTCCATGAGGAAACTGAAACGTCTTTTCTATGTTATGAAGTGAGGGATAGAGGCAGTTTCAGTCTCATTTGTGTCAAAGTGACCTAAATCTAGAGATTTATTTTTCTGGAGGAGGCGAAAGGTGCTTTCTGTAAACCAGATGTACTGTTCCTGGGAGAGTAGGTTGCTGCCAAATAAATATTTAGAGATATAAATTAAGGATTGAAATAGTGAAATCCTGCAAATACAAAACATAATTTTTTATTTGTTGCCTGGGGCAAGTAAGGTCTCTGCAGTGTAATACATGAGTACAAAATTACATGGGTATCTCTGTCATTGTTTTCTAGATAAAACTGCCTCTCTTTATATTTTTTCCATCTGATTCTCTTTTTTGTTACTCACTGATCATAATTATAATCTGTCTTGCTTGGATTTGTACTAGTTTCAGTTGGAGATTTTTGGGGTTGATTTTTTTGTTACTCACTAATCATAATTCTAATCTGTCTTGCTTGGATTTGTAATTAATCCAACTCCTTTCTACTAGTTTCAGTTGGAGATTTTTGGGGTTGATTTTGGGGGGTTAGAGGGCAGGGAGAGAATTATAATTCATATTCCAGTTAAACACAGCCATTGCCAACACCTTTTTTGCCAACACATTTCCTCACTTTGGTCTTTTCTCTTGCCTGCAGTCTTATATGGGGATCTTTTCCAACAAGGAAGTGTTTTCTTATAAAGATAAGAAGGTTTGACATGGGTAGCAATGTAGCCTGGCATGTAATTTCCATCTGTTGCCCAAGGGGTGTTTCTCACTGGCTGTTAGAAACTAGCTTTAATGGCACCAGTTAAAAATAAAAGCTCAGATTGTTAGGGATAACAATATCCTTGGGAGGAGAAACACTGTATTTGTTATAATTTGCACTGTTGTTAGTATATAATACCTGCTTTACCCTTATTCTTGAGTTGCATTATGCTCCAAGTTACTCTATGTAATGTCTTCTGAACACCTGTTAACTTGAATTCCTGTCAGAGCTATAAGACTTTAAACAGAGCATCCTATAACTACCTTTCATTTTCTCAGCCCTTCTTCCTCCCTTTTGGTAACTCTTGACCTGCTACCTAATTCAGCCTGGTAAAAACGTGTTACCTCACTTGCTGCTGTTTGATTAATTTTTTCTTACAGCTCCAGAAATAGTAAACTATGAACCACTTGGACTAGCTGCAGATATGTGGTAAGTTTTTAACATTTTATTCAACATTGCTCTACTATCACTTTTTCCCAGTTTGCTCTGAATAGAATCCATTCTACTGCAGCAAATGAAAACCAAACAAACCCCAAAGCCCCTAAGAGTTAATATCTGAGAGTTGATAACTCTTCTGTCTTTTAATTTTTAATGCATTCTTTTTAATTAAATGATAAGGATTTGATTTCTGAAAAATTAAAATGAAATACTTTAATGATGGTAGTTATAGAGTTAACAGTTTGCCACTGTCTGCTGCAGAGGAGCACTCTGAAAAGATGTTCCTGCAGTGCTTTTGACAGTTTTATTTATAAGAGCACTGCATGCAGAGCAGACCTGCGTGCTAATCTGATCTGCTGAGGAGGCAGACAAAAGAGGTCACCCCAAATAAAACATCCTTGCTTCTGCTTCTTCCTGTTTCTGATGTGTACTGTGGTAAATACCTGCTAGGTTAGAAATACAGACTTCAAATGTCCATACTACTTGAAATAAAATTCACCTTTTCCCTGAAACACCATTCTTTGAGAGGTATTGGCAGTTATCTAAAGCCACAATGGCTTTCCTGCCTGTATAGCAGCCACTAATGACTTTTCCATGTTGTCATGCAGAACCCCTGCAACTAATCTCCTGTGTTTTTCAGGAGCATTGGAGTCATCACCTACATACTGTGAGTACAACAGATTCACTCCTGTGGAAGTGTTCCTAAAGCTCTACTGCTCTAGTACAAAACATCTCTTCCCTTCAGCACTTAAGAAAGGAGCTGCACACACAGGGTGGGGCAGTGGTTTGACTAAAGGGCAAACGTTGTCCTGCAGCCTTGTCAAGTTTAAAACAAGGGACAGAGGAATAGAGGCATCCTGAGCAGATGAAGAATAAATCTCTGTAGCACCACTGGGCATGTCTGCTTCTTATTGGGACCTCATCAGCTCTGAATGGTAGAAGATGGAAACGCCCAAGCATATTGGTTGCTCACAAGAAGGGCTATGAGCTACCAGTGTGTGCAGAGATGGAAACAAATGTAATAGGGCAATTTAGAAGGTGAGATATTTCAGGTGAAAGCAGAGAAGTTATAGTTTGCTTGTAAAGGCAGCAGTCTAGATTAATGTGCATGAATATGGTCACCCATATTCAAAAAGGTGAATTTAACCTGGGTAGGAGAAGAGGAGTTGACTCTGGGAACTGAGAATTCATTTTACAGGAGAAAAAAAAATACCTTGAGTTCTGTGTCCTGTTCTGGAGCCCCCAGCACAGGAAGGAGTGAGCCCAGAGGAGGGTCACAAAGATGATCCAAGGTCTGGAGCACCTCCCCTATGAAGCCAGACTGAGAGAGTTGGGGCTGTTCAGCCTGGAGAAGAGAAGGGTCCCTGGAGGCCTTAGAGCACCTTCCAGTGCCTGAAGGGGCAACAGGAAAGCTGGGGAGAAATTCTGTAAAAGGGCAGGGAGTGAGAGGACAAGGGGGGATGGCTTTAAATTAGAAGAGGGGAGATTTAGGTTAAAAGTTAGGAAGAAATTGTTTACTGTGAGGTTGTGGAAGCCCCTTCCCTGGAAGTGTTGAAGGGCAGGTTGGATGGGGCTTGGAGCAACCTGGTCTGGTGTGAGGTGTCCCTGCCCATGCAGGGGGGTTAGAAGGGGTTAGAACTCGATCATCTTTACAGGTCCCTTGCAACCCAAACCATTCTGTGAGTCTATGAAAAAAGGGCTTGTTAAAGCTAGTAAAGCAAAGGCTCATTGGGAGTACCACTGTAGTCAGTAAGTACAAGGGAAAAAAGATACTTTTTAGAAGAAAAGTGTGTCCACTGGTGATGGATAAATAAAACTAGGTAATTATGGTAAGCTCAGCCTCTCAAACAAATGAGGTTCCATGGGCATCCTGGGAACATGCAGTCAAGAACGTTTCCTGGGGACAGAATAATGAGGTAGGTTTCTGTACTGTGTCCAGTGAATAATTGTTTTACCTGGTTAGCTACTAATGATTGCCTCCCTACATGATTTTCTCCCTACAAATGACCAGAAAAAAGAGCATGCTTTTTCTGTTGGGAGGGGTCAGCTTGCATAATATGCTATGTACTAGAAACCCATATGCCTCTAACTGGTATTGCCTGTTAATTGTAAAGCCTTTTGTTCTGAAGAATTCTGAATAAATGGGGTGTGTTTAATTACTACTTTAGCAAACATGGCAGCAGTTGAATGGATACCATCATCAGAGATGAAAATGCCTACCAGCCCTTAATTCAGCAACCAGTGGGGTGATTCACTGAGGTGTAAGGGCAAAGCTTTTATTACTGAGTTCTGCTCTTAGGTGTTTGCAGGCACTGAGTCAGGATGTGACAAAAGTTATTTGCGTTAGGTGTTAATATTTGAGAATCCTTCCATTTCACAGACCTCAAAACTGAGTCCCAAAGGAAAAAAAAACCCAATCTATTCAGAGCAGAACAGAGAACTGTTGGCTTTGACTTCCAGCAAAGGGCCAAATGGTGGAATTTCTGCTACTTCATGGCACAGTTTTCAGCAGGGGAAAATAAACCAGGGCTCTAGGGCAGGTTTCCAACCAAGCCTTGGTTTTGGAACAATGTCCATGGTCTGTGGTGAGGTGCCTGCTTGTAGCCTTTTTTGTGGCTAACAGAAATGGAACAAAAGTTTAAGAGGGAATATGTAAAGCCTGTTAATAAGCAGGTTATGGGATGAAATTCACAGCGTCTAAGACAACTGGAGGATCTCACTCATGTTGCCTTGCTATGTCAGCTGCCTTGGTCTCATTGTGTGATTGTGGAAGGACAGGAAAGAAACACTTTATGCACACAAAGGTGTATTTTGTGGATACAGTGACGTGGTAGCTGGGGACTGGGCAGAATGGCCCTGGTGTCCCATCTAACTTTCTCCTTACCTCCAAATTCCCAGTCACTGTGGTTGTGGCAATACAGGCAGAGTAAAAGGTCTGCTTAGCAAGATCAGGTAAGCAAGTAGTTTAGTATTCAAACCCTCAATTTAAATCCCAGGAGTTTGCTGCAGTCCTGTTTTGAGCCTGCTGCATCCTGAAGCTGTGCTAGCAAAGCTAGACATAACAGATAAGCATAATAATAGTCTGGAAGATTTTTTAAAAGGAATGAGATTAATTTCCTTGGTATAAATAACATTTCCTGTAAACCAAACTATTGCAAGTCAGCATCCCTGTGGGCTGGGGGAGGGAAGGCAAGGCAGGAGGAGTCTGCAATGAATCCATTCTGACAGCTGGGTTTTGTGGAGCAGAGGTAAATGGTCATCAAAGATGCAGGTCGCCAGTCACAGCTGAGATAGGCAAAGCAGATTAAAGGCTTTTTCTGTCTGAGTTTGATGAATGGCTTTTTATTATGATGATATTGGAGCAGAGTGCCAACAGAATGAATTTTTGCATTGTTCAGAAACAATTGGATTCTTTTGCAACCAAAGTCCTTTTATTTTTGGATTCCTTTTAATGAGCAGTGCAGCCCTACCTCTCTGGTGGAGATGGTTCCTAGGCAAGGCCATGCTCCTGACTTTTGCACTATGATCACACGTGGTATTTTGGTTCCAGCTGAGGAAGGTCTCTTGGCTGAACCCACTGTGCAGGGGACTTGTCAGTAGCTTTGCAGGCAGAAAAGCAGCAGGGACTGGGCTTTTCCTACCCAAAGAGATCCTATAGAAACCCTACCTGCTTGAAGCTGATAGTAGCTTCTGCCTGGTAGTGTTTGTGGGTTCCCAGAGACTCTCCTCAGTGGAACCATTTTCTAGATTGACCAGCAGTGATTTCAGTAAGATGTTCAGAAGAGGAGAATCTCTGCATTTCTGTCTGTGTGCACACATCAGTGCTGCACTAGGGGTTTCAAGATGAGTCTGACTCATATCACAGATGCAGTGAGCCAAAGATGGACCTGTTGTTTCCCACATGACGTGGCTGCTACAACACAAGATCCACAAATGTCCCGAAAGTGTGTTAAACAGTCTCTGTAACTTCATTAGGGGATCTCTGCTGTTTATTTTTCCAATTTATTCTTCTCTCTGGCTTTTCCAGGCTCAGCGGAGCCTCACCTTTCCTTGGAGAAACAAAACAAGAAACACTTGCCAACATCACAGCTGTGAATTATGAATTTGATGAAGAATTTTTCAGCAATACCAGTGATCTGGCAAAAGATTTTATTCGGAAACTCCTGGTGAAAGATACCAGGTAAGTGAAAATTCAGAAAGATCCATCTGTCTCTGAGATAACCCTGCTGAGGTGTAGCCTGCCGAGCAATCTGCCAAGCTTTCCCTGCACTGTGTGTTGCTGTTCAGGATGCTGCTGTGTCCTGGGGTCATCACTGCACCCAGAAACCCCAGGAATAGTGTGGGGGCTTTGATCCAGTGTGGGATAGGGAGGAGAACATCCAAGAGCTCATGCATTGAGACAGGACAGAGAGGTTTTTGCTCCCCAGTTCTGGTCATGGGCAAAACAGACTCAGCCTAGGAGAGGAAAAAAAACCACACATTTAATTTTTCCGAACAGGAGAAAAAGAAAGCAAGACCCAATCTTAGATACCTTTCCCCCACCCCTCCTTCCCCTCCCCATCAGCAGCATAGGAGGATGGGGAGTGGGGGCTTTCAGATCAGTTCCTCTCACAGGTTGGTTCTGCTCACAGCCTTCCCCTGCTCCACTGTGGGTCCCTCCCGTGGGACAGGGCCCTTCACGTACCCCTCTGACATGAGTCCCTCCCACGAGGTTCCTTCAGGAACTCGTATTGCTCTCACCTCCCCCTCTCCTCTGCCCTGCAGAGGTTTCTGAAGTTTCGTTTCTTACTCGCAGCGGCTCTTCCAGCTTCCCTGATCAGCTCAGCCCTGGCTGGAGGCGGGGCTGGAAATGTAACATGATCCCAGTGCTGCAAGGGCAGAAAGATCTTGACATGCGCTCCTAGTGAAATGGTGCCTTCTGTATCTGTTGCAATCCCCTAGAGTTCGTGTGAGAGTTTTGCAGATCCTCATTCCGAGTTTGTAGGAGCCACAGACCTTTTTTCAGTTTTTTTTTCACACGTTTCATAAAGTGCATGCAGAAGTAGCATTTCCTTCCCTATAACCCTGGTTGTCCTGGAGAGAAGTCAGGCCATTGCAGTTCGTTCTCATGGCTTCATCAGGGGAGAAAGGAGGTATTAGAGGGGAAGAGGCAAGCTGTTGAGTGAAGATTTCTGCAGATCCTCAGGCCTTAGAATAGACTGGAGTAGGTGGGGTTTGACAAGGGGTTTGCACAGGTCTGGCAGCCTCCTTTTAACAAGGGGACATCAGTGACACTGATACTTGTCCTGGGTGCAGAGGCAGTCCCTGTGCAATGCTCTGTTTCTGCCTTTGGTTCTCCATGCTCTTAGTGAGCTGTTCACTGAACTGCCACACTGCAGAAGGAAGTTAGGATTGATCAGGTTTGATCAGATTTGAGGTATTGTTCTCAAAAATGTTGCTTTCAGGAAGTGGCAGCTCCTGCAGTGATGTAATGTCATGTTCCAAAGGGAAGTTCTGGTATAATTAATGTTTACATTGTTTCAGACACAGTTGTATTAGAAATATATTTGTATAGAGATGTATATAGATGTGTATTTATATGTATATAGATCTATATAGGTGTGTGTATATATATATGTATATAGATCTATATAGATGTATATAGGAATAATTCCTTTTTTAAGCATGTAGAATAAACAAAACAAAGTAATACTTTATCACTTTTTATGGAAGGGAACACAAAAATACAGGTAGATTTTGATTAAGTAAGAATTAAAATCGTGTGGAGTGAGTTCACCTCCTTACTGAAACTTAAACCAGTTACTAAACTACACACAAGCAATATGCAGGCCTCATGGAGAAACATAACCTTGAAATTCAAGAGTTAGTCCTGCTATTATCTCGATAGATATGAAGCCTGTGAGAACTGTGGGTCAATGGACTTGTGTACCAGGTATTTCTCATTCCAGACTGGTTTTTTGTGTGTTGTTTTTCAGGAAGCGGCTGACAATCCAGGAAGCTCTGTCTCATCCCTGGATAACGGTAAGACTGAATAAACAGATAGATCTTGTTTTTTACCGTGAACAATGCAGAGATGATGTTCTTATTGGAGTGTTAATGGCAAACTGCCCTCTAAGTACTTAGTGACCCTTGGTGTTTCAGAGAGATGTGCTGGGAAGAAATTGGTTGGGTCTGACAAAATACTTGGATTTCTGCAAATTACTTCATTATTATAGCTTCCCAGAAGAGAGTGACAAAGCTCTGATGTTTGTTGCACAGTATCCTACCCTAGACTGGTCTTTGCATTTTTGCATCCTTCTCTGTTTGCATGGACATATACTATGTTTTGAGTTTAGTGATTTCCTGAGCTGAGAGTTAACTACAGCCAATGTACAAAATATAATTTATCACAAGATATAACCACCTTGCCAAGTATGTTGATTTCCTTACATTTGTCTGTCTGTCTCTGTTATTTCATCATAAATACTGCTTGCTTTTGTGGATCAGTTTCTCACTGAACACGTTTAGCTAATCTCAGCACAAATAACGAGGATGTTTGGAATTCAGTTTTTGCTCTCCAGTGCACAAAACATTAACTGGAGTGTTTTCAGGATTGTTGGTTTCCTCTTACAATATTGATAGCTTTGAGAGTGTTAACTGCCTAAAAATTAACAGGAAAATAAATTGCAGCTCTGTTACTCACACTTACCACGTCGGAATGAACGCACATCACTTGTCACATTGATTTTTGGGTTTGTCTGTTTGTTTTGTTGTGTTGTTTGTTTTTTTTTTCTTTTAATCAAATGCATGAAGGAAAATCTGTGGGAGCAGAGACTCACCCAGCATTGTGGAAGTTTGGTCTGCATCCTTTGTGTAGAGCTTGTGAGTTACTGCACTGTCTTGTAAACATTCAGTAATACTGGTTCCTCTGTCTGATGACTCACCAGCTGAAAGAAGAAACCAAAGTCCAAGAAAACAAGAAGACTGAGAACACACAGCTGAAGACAAAACGCCTGAGGGAGTACACCATCAAGTGCCATTCCAGCATGCCTCCCAATAATACCTACATCAACTTTGAGCGCTTTGCCCGGGTAGTGGAAGACCTTTCACTTACAGAGCAGAGTTTCAGCACCTTGGCTGCATCCCACGACTCCTTGCAGGAGGACATTGATGCTCTGGTTTCCATTTACAATGAGAAAGAAGCCTGGTATAAAGAAGAGAGCGAAAGTGTGAGGCACAAGCTGTCTCAGCTGAGGTACGAATACCGTAAGACTGAGTCCCTGAAGAGACATCTGAGGGATGACATCAAGACCGTAGGTGCCAGTCTTACCGGCATAACTGGGAAATATGCTGATCTGCAGATTCAGTATGACTCTCTCAGTCAAGAACTTTCTGAGGAACTCAAGTGGATACAGGATTTAATGAGTGGTTTTAAACTGGAAAGTGAAGCCTGTGTGAACGGGAACTTTGACTCTGTTTTCAACAAAGACATTAACGAGTCACTAGTGGAGCTGTTAAATAGATCGCGCTGTGAAGAATTCCTTGCAGGGCTGAATCTTGATGTAGCAAAATCAAATCAGTAGTATTGTAGAACAGGTTCAGTTCAGGGCTTGTTGTCTGTTCCAGTGGGCAGCAGTTTAAAAAGTTTTCAGTGCATAGATTCTGCACAAAAACATCGCCTAGAACCAAAATTCCAATGTGTTGCCCAAGATGCTCCCCAAAACCATGAAGTCCCAGTGGTTTTTAGTGTTGAAGTTTTTTTACCTTGTTTGGCATCTGAATTTACGGGAACGAGATTGTAAGGGTTATGGCCAGATCTAACCCTACAGCCTTTTGCATTGCCTGTATCATACTTCCTCTTGTGTTACAGTTCCTGAAGATGAATAAGTAATTAACTTGGATAAAAGAGTAGGTCAGTCTGTACTTAGTAGAAGCTGGGGGCCTGGAAATGAAAAAAATCTCGTGGTAGCATCTTTGGTTGGATGGAGGGAATAGTCATGTAGACTTGCTGCAGGCAGTTCTATAGACCCTGTGAGAGAAATACTTGCAAAGGTTAAATCTGTCCTGTAAAAAAGGTAAATGGTGTAGTAATTTAACATTTAGCTACTGCTTTGGAAATTCCTTGTGAAATGGCTACTGATCAAGAAAAGATATTTTTTTTAGGCCAGTTACGCAGGGTGAAATCTTTTACCATCAAAGGTATTAGCTGTTGGTTGATCCTTTAGTTTAAAATTCAGCTATGTTTTCTGTCCTATACCAAAGGAATCCTATTCAAAAGGCACAATTGGGAACTTGTAAAGAACTGACCAAATAACTGTGTATGTAATTTTAAAGTGCAAATATTAATTTGTGAGTTGTGAGTGATAAATGATAACCTAGACCTGTTTTGTTTTCTGCAGTAAAGATGATGACAAAGGTACAACTAATTTAATCTGTGGTGTGAGATTAGAGACTAGTGTCCTTGCTGTGAAGATTTTAACTTTTATTTAGTTTTGGAAAGTGGAAAAAAAAAATATGCTGGCCCAAATTTGAATCAGACCCCTGCTGTCTTTTTGATTATACTGTATTAGTATTCACAGATGTACCCATCTCATTTCTGGCTACAATAAATAGTTTTTTATGCAGGAGGCAGTTGTTCCCTGATGGTGTAGTTAGTGTCTGAAAAAGAGATGTCAAACTTCTGTGTACTGAAAAGAGTTGCCAGCCCAGGTCTTGCAGCTGGTTTACAGCCCCTTTGCTCAGCTGTTTGAATCTGCTGCAAGGGGACTGGGGCTACTAGAAGGAGTGAGGTGGTAGCCAGGCTTCCCTGCATCACTGCTCCAGTGCATCTAGAGTGGATCTTACATATTAGTGTCTTTCACTGCCCAGCCTCCATCCTCCTTTTCCATAGAAGTGCATACTAAGAGTGTAACTAAATCCAACTGTTGTTGTTCATAACTTTGAGATAAAAAGATGAAAGCACACTCTTGTCCATGTTTGTGTGGAGTACAGTGGAGCCATCACTGCCATGTCCTCATCAAGACATGCAGAGGTGGTTAAAATTCAGAGTTACTCAATAGGGGTATTGTTACTCATGTCATGGTAGTTGGTGGGAGATGGAAACTGGATGTGCACTCTGTGGCATCTTTCTTCACATGAGACGTAAAATTTTCAAAGCTTCAAAGTAGTTTAGATAGCCAGGAGAGGTCCCTGGCAAGCTGGTGCTGATGGTTGGGGAGAACGTGGCTCTACTGTGCAAACAGTAATGAGAATTTTACTTATCTCTGTTTTTTATTCTCTCAAATGCTTCAGTCATCATTTCTGCAGGTTCCTTTGAGCTAGAGGACCCACGAAATACTGTCCAGGGGAACTGGAACACAGGATTTTTTTTATTGAGGGAGTTTTAATTCTTAGGAAGTAACTTAAGTTGAGTAAGAGTTAATATCTGCAGAAAAGACTCTTGGGAGTCTTCCTTCCTTCAGCAGTGATTTTAAAGATCTTTTCCAACTAAAAACAATTCCATGATTCTATGATCTCATTCTCTATTAATGTAGATTTTTCTTCAGGAGTGAATGCACTGGCATGATGAGAAGACACTAAATGAGGCCATTCTGTTACTGAGTGTGTTTGGGTGAGGTTTATATTGTTGTGATTCAGTCCTTGAGGCTGGTGCTCTCTGAGCTGAAGGAGGTCACTGACATACTGCTTTTGAGAGGTAGTCTGATGATTCAGAAAATGACAAGGACACTGGTTTGCAGGCTACTTAGAAATTAAAGGCAGTTATTAACAGTCCAGACTACTGTGAAGTGAGCTATTTTGATTCAGTGACAGTTCTACTGCTGAAAGTGCAATCAGAAATTTTTCATGATGATTGTACTGCTGACATTTAGCCAGTGACATTTTTCCACTTTGAATTGATTTCTACTCAGTGTTGTGCTGCACCGTGCAAGTAATTTACAGCTTGAGGAAATGATATTTAATGCCTAAATGTCCCTGTTCTTTTGTATGCAGATGGTGTGTACATCTAAAAGAAAAAAAGGCCTAGCTGATAATGTGGTTTCTTGAATTACTGTGGAGAGAGCTGCACAAATGCTATTTCTGTAGCATTTGATGTGAAAAGTGAATTTGTTGTCTTGTGAACCTTATACATTATTTGCTGAAAGAAAGATTTAAGTCTTCACTGATGTGTTTTCCTTTCTTCTTTTCTACTTTTGCTTTTTCAGGTGCCTGGCTTTGTTGCATTCCAGTATAAATATTTCTGGGTTATCTACCTTCTACCTATGCAGATCAGAACTGTTGGAATGGTTGTCATTCTGTAAACTCCTGAATCTTTGAAGGATTCATTCCTGGCCTTTCTCTTTTCACTTTTACCAGATCTGGTTTGGATTTTTTTTTTTTCCCCCTCAATCTGTTACATACATTTATCTGGTCTGTTCAAATACTGATGGTGTTTTGGAGTTCAAAGGTGCTTCCTTCACTGTCAGAAGGACTGTGTCAGGTTTTGAAGAACATCTGTTCCTTTGCACCAGATCAGCATCCAGAAATTTTAGGCACATGTCTGAATTCTGATTATATTTTTTTAAAATTCCTATTTCTCCATACTCGAGTATTGCAATTCTTTTATCATGTGTTTGTTCCCAGGGTGTCAAAGTCTTGTGCTGTCCTATGCTGGGTATGGTTAAAGGACAAAGCCTGAGGTTTTTCAGATGTGCTTTAGCATGTATCCTTGTCATTAATACTAAAAAGGAGGAGGATCTTCTCAATCTGTTTGAGTATGTGGTGGAATGGAGCAAAGAATACAGAGCCAGGCTCTCCTCAGTGGTATCCAGGGACAGGACAAAATGCAGTGGGCACAATTTGAAATACAGGAATTCCATTTGAACATTAAAAAAAGGCAAATAAACTTGTTTATTAAATAAGCAGTTATTCACTGGAACATGTTGCCCAAAGGGGTTGTGCAGTCTCCATCCTTTGGAAAGGGCTCCTCTCTGGTACCTGTTTAATGTTTGGGTTGTAGGACTCTTTGAAGTTATCCATATTTCACATTCACATGAATTTGCATGTTTTCCATGTTCAGATCTGAACTGACTGCCTCAAACTTTTCTATGTATCTTTGAAGTCTCTATAGCAGAGCACATAATTTTTTTTCTTCTATGGTGTTTAAATCAGCCTGGTAAAAGAAAAACGTAAGAGTATAATTCAGAGGAGTTGTGCTAGAATAAAATTAAGAGCTGCATGCTGGAAGTTGGGAAAGAGCTCTAATATATCTTGGTTTTTAAAATCCCCCTGTAAAGGGCAAACTGATAACTCTCTCTGGAAATTGAGAAGGTAGCACAGGACCTAACAGTGTGATGATGCAGGTTCCATCCTGATTTCCAACAAAGATGTGCCAAGCCAGCAGTGTGCTGTGGTGCTGTTGCTGTACTGACAACAGCTCCACCTCCTTGCTGTCAGGCCTCTGTGGAACCTGTTAGCTCCTCTCCCAGTGCCTTTAAGAAAGAGGGACACAAAGAAAGGCCAGCTGGTACGAGCTCAGTTCAGAGAAAATGGAGATGGCCCCTTGGCAACTTTCCATAGTGAAAGCATGGCCTTAGCACCCCTTAGTTACCTCTCTTTTATCTGGCTTTCCTTCACCCTGTTCTTTGGCTAGAAAAGCCACTCCCAGACTGTTTGTTTGGATTTTATGTGGATCATTATGAAGCTAGAGGCAGAGTGGAGGCTAAAGTCCATGCCATGTGATACACCTTCTGTGCCACGTTGAGTGGCTGGAAAAGGGGAACAGTGGAACTTTTAAGAACAATGTTCTGCACAGGGCCAACTGTGACCACTGACTATACACTAGTTTTAGGATTTTGTTTGAAATCAAGGGGGTCCTTTCCAGGCACAGGACTACATTTAATTATTTTTCTTCTGCTCTAATCTATATGAATCTGCAGCTTTTCCAGCCAACATTCTTTCCAGCCAGCTCCAGAGCACATGAAGAATCTTATTTATTTTATGCATGACAGTGATCCAAGCAATAAAATTGCTCTCTTATCTTCTAGCCAATGGACAAGCAACAAGCTTTGGTTCGGCAATCATCTGTTGTTAACATGGAAAGCTTCAAAAGGCAATATGCTAGGAGGCGATGGAAGGTATGACCCCAAGCCTTTCCTTCCTTTCCTCTCATGTTCCCCAGGGCTGATGGGATCAGAGGGCAAGATAGAGCTTGGATGTAAAATGGTAATACACAGTAGATAAATGAAATGTGTTTGGATATGTCTGCACTGCATGTGTGTGGTCAAATTCTTGTTCTTCCCTCTCTCCATAGCTTTCTTACCGTATTGTCTCACTGTGCAATCACTTCTCTCGTTCACTGGTGAAAAAGGTCCTGATGGAGGATGAAAGTTTGGTACGTAGAGTTCTCTTGTGGGAAGAAGGGAAGTTTTGCTGTGTAGTGGTTTTTACTGGCCTTATTATGGTTTCACAGCCTGACAGGATGGCAGTGGTTTTGAGTGGGAAACCCCATGGACCGTGGCATCCTTCATGTGTTTTTAATGCTGCTGTCAGTTGGGCTATTGTGACAGAAATGTTGAGCAGGGTGTTGACTCTATAAACCCTGTAG